AAAAATTGGAACAAATAAATATTTGCCAAAAGAAATTATTTGGAAATGAAATAACAATAAAACAAGAATTTTATTTAGATCAGAAAACACAACTTATGATTATTGATAATTATTTTAATGAAAATTTGGAATTTAAACAAGCATTTGAACGTTATCAGAAAACTTGTAAAACAAAGGATGAAATAGAGGTGATTTAGAACAGTGCCAGCAAAAGCTAGCTGGCATTTAGCATGTTTCGGTCTAAACTTGTGCATGGATACGTGTAATATCCGGATATCCGCAGATATATCCTGCTGCGCTAAAAAATTGCTGGCTGAATTCTTGGCTTAAAAAATTTTCAAATTTTTCGTCTGGGGCGTAAAATATGGAAGATTTTTTGCTTTTTGGCCTTCCAAAATTCTTAAAGTTTTTGCCTGGGGCGCTGCAATCAACAGTTAGTTAACTAATCTTTTTATTTTGGCCCGAAATCAGGAATTTAAATTAGGGCAGCAAACAAACCATTAAGGTCGGGTATGTCCCGATTTGGGGTTTTGCATCGGGGATCCCGGATACGCATGGCAAAATCCGTATCCTTGCACGTCTGTTTCAGTCTCTATTTTTGTCTAATTTTTAATAAAAATTAAGGAAGCATTAATTCAAGGGTTGTGTTTATTACATCTATATGGAAATATAGCTATAGAAAATCTAAAAAAATATTTTAAAATGAATTTTACAAGTTTAAGAACAAAACTTCATGCAAGAAAAATTCGACTTTTAAATCGACGAGGAGGCAACAAGTTAGATTTTAATATAAACAAACATTTTAACTATAATTATTTCTTGACTAATTTTAAATCAGAAAAACTAAATTTAAAAATATCTAAAAATTCATTTTAAACAATTTAGACAAAAAAATTTGAATGTTGAAGAAACAATTGAAAATATTAAAGAACTAATTAACTCAAAAAGTCAAGAGAAATGTGGAGGCAAATGGGAATTTAATAGAAAAATTTATTTTTCTCCATTAGAAGCAAAACAATTTTATAATAAAATTTTAAATTTGGCAAAAGATGTTGATGAAAATGTTAAAAATTCGGAAAATAATTTTTTGGAAATAATTTATGGAAATGGATTATATCATGAATTAGTAAATTCCGATGATGTAAAAATAGAGGGAGAAAAACAAAATATTCAAATGTTTATGACTAAATTTAGAGGAATTATTTTTGATTTTAAATGGGAATTAATTTGGAGTTTTAGATGTATTTTAAAATTATGTTTATTATATTCTAATTTTATTTTACAGACAGGAAAAGCATTTATGTATACAACCCTGAAAATTCTGCTGAAAAAATTTGTGATCTTCTATTATTTCGTTTATTACTCGAATTTTTAAAATTAATGACTAATATGGATAATTTTATCAAATTTGTGTATTCAGATACAGAAACTAATTATTTGATGGCAAAAGGGAATCATATTAAATTAGTTAATAATTTAATTGAATTATTTAAAAAATATAATGAAACACCTGAGGAATTTTATAAATTAAAATTAAATAAAAAATATTCGGAAAATACAAAGAAAATGATAATTAGAAAAGTTGAGGAATTTATAGAAAATTATATTGATGGAAAATTGAATGTTGTTGTCGGACGTTTGACTTTAAATTAAAGGAATATTTTGTTAAAAAGATATAAAAAATAAATTTATTTTAAAAATTATTTGTTTGTTTTTAAAGTTTATTATAGTTTGATTTATTTATTTAACAAATTTGTGTATTTTAGATTTTAAATGTTTTTTTTATTTTAAATAACATCGACAATAAATATTTTAAAAATAATATTAAATAATACATAAAAAATAACAGTTTAAAATTTTATTTAAGAATAAAATACATATTTTTTAAAGAATTTGTGAATAATTCTTAATTTTTTCTGACCAATAAAGAAGTAAATTGAAAATTGATTTTGTTTTTTCAGATCGCGCCCATTATCGGTTGAATCTGTTGTCCTGGTGTAGCATGCAGAATTCTGTTTCGATGTTCAATCATTGATTTCGTCGTACACCAGAAACAGAAAGTGACATGACCGCATATCTGTAGAGTTACTGGTCGCCGGTAGTGGTCTGCTCCCGATTCGAAGTTCAACTGATGCAGAAAGCATAATGCAATTAGGATATATAGTATAAGAGCCATTCCTCAGATGTTGCAATATTTATAGGCAATGATATTATAAGCTTATGTCGTGGAAGAACTTGTTTTTTTTCAAAATTTATATTGGGTTATATGTAGAATAAATAAAAAGATATTATAATAAAATTAATTTGTTTTTTAATTAAAATCTTTATTTAAATTCAAATACTATTGAAAAAATAAAAAATATCACCAAACTCGCAATTCTTTACTAAATTTATCGGAAATATAATAAAAAGCAGATATTTTTGCATTACTCTTTAACACTTTGTCTAATACTATAATTCCCGTGTCGTGGCGCCAAGTATTAGTATGTTTCTTTCATTCAAATATCTTATCTCAATATTCCAAAGAATATTTTAATAATATGCACACTAAATACTACAAATAAATAAACAATAATAATTCAACACGTATAAATTTTTATTCTGAAAATATCGAATCCCATCCCATTTAAATTAAAGATAATTACTGTAACTAAGAACATTGAAAAATGAAAATTTAATGCCTTCTTTTAAGGATAGAAAAAATGATCCAAGAATAAATTAGACAAAATTTCAAAGTACCACCAAATAAAAAATAAACAAATTACCATCAAATACGTAAAAATAAATAAAATTCTTCAAAAATTAAAAAAATAAAAAAAATCTTTAAATCATTAACTCCTTTAAATTTGCTCATCGACTATTTTTTTCCTAATAATCATTTTCTTTTCAAATGTCCAACAACAACTTTCAATTTTCCATTAATATAATTTTTTATAAATTCCTCAATCTTTCCTGTTATCATTTTCTTTGTATTTTCCGAATACGTTTCGTTTAAATTTAAACTATAAAATTTCTCCGGCGTTTTATTATATTTTTTAAATAATTTAATTAATTTTTTAACAAGTTCGATATTTCCCTCTTTTGCCTCCAAATAATTTATTTCTGTATCTGCATAAAAAAATTTGATGAATTTATCTTTCTCTGTCATTGACTTTAAAAATTCGAGCAATAAACGAAATAATAGAAGATCACAAATTTTATCAGCAGATTCTTCAGAGTTGCTAACATAAATGCTTGTCCTTTCTAAAAATACATAATATGTAGATTAACAGTCTTAAGTTAAACAAACTAAAAGATAGGAATAATGTGGGGTTGATGTATCATAAATTTATGGAATCCGGATTCTGAACCGAGAATTCTATCACAGTATGAAGAAGGAAAAGTTACTGTGATAGATAGATGAAAATAAGTATTCTATATTATTAGCTCAGGAGAATTTTTTGGATTTTATGACGACAAAAGATATCTTTTTACTCAACCTATTATTATGATAAGTAATTTTAAGCTGGAGGATCTAATAACTAGTGACCAAATTTTTAGGGCGTAAAAACTTAAAAATAAGTACCTAAATAGGATGCAAAAAACTAAAATACATTAAAAACCACATACTTTTAAAACTCGCAATCAGTTCCCTTCTGAAATCGCAAATAATTCCTCTAAATTTAGTCATAAACATTTGTATATTTTGTTCATCTTCAATAAACACATCATCAGAATATACTAATATATAAAATTGACCATTTCCATATATTGCTTCCAAAAATTTTTTTTCTGAATTTTTATTCTTTTCGACATCTATTGCCAAATTTAAAATTTTTTTATAAAATCGTTTTCCTTCTCTAGGTTCAAAATTAATTTTTCCATTAAATTCCCATAGTTTTCCCCCACATTCTTCATTACTTTTTGTTTTTAATATTTCTCCAATATTTTGAATTATTTCATCCAAACTCAAATCATTGTTTCTAAACAATTTTTAACGTTAGATGAAAGTAAAAAAATTTTTTCCTATGTTGACCTATAGAAGAGTCCCTTTGGGGCTATAGAAAAATCGTCCGGAGGTCGAGGTCTTTTGATAGCCAAGACATAAATACATTGTCGGACATTGGCTCCGACTTATTACAGGAAATCTTCTCTAACCCATCTAAGATGGTTTAGATGTTCCACTTTTTGTTGTATATTATTTACAAACTAACATTTTCCTAGGCATTCCTTCAACTAAACGAATTTTTCTTTTATGCAATTTGGTTTTTAAAGTTATATTTTTCATTTTAAAATAGGTAGATAAATTGTTTATGGTTATATTTCCATGTAAATGTAATACACACAATCCATTAATAAAAGGTTCCTAAATTTTAATTTAAAAATTATTTGTTAGAAGAAATTAGAGCTGGCTTATGTGTTCGTTTTTTATCAATACAGAAACTCAAAAAATCGTATTCTCTTTTAAATTGAAGATAATAAATACGAAATTGCTGTAAATTGCTTTTAAATCAAAAAATTTCTCTTCAGTTTATTAATATTTACTCAAAAAATTGTTTTTGGTTTTATTTCTCCGTATTTTTGTAGACTTTATTATAACTAGGGCGTGTCAAAACATGCAAATGCATATTTTGCATGCGGATATGCCATGAGCTGAAACGTCAAAAATGGTGCTTTCACGTCTGCACGAACATTAGGGACCGGGTTCCTATAGCATATTTTTGCATATTTCGGTACTTTTGTGCATATTTGCATATCGATGCATATTTTGAGAAATTTTGCATGAGCTGAAACGTCAAAAATGGTGCTTTCACGTCTGCACGAACATTAGGGACCGGGTTCTAATTCAAAAAATAATTCAAAGTTCTAATTCAATAATTCAAAAAACAAATTATTGTTTTTTTGATCGTTAAAAGGGATTTTAGTTTGCTCTAAATTTTATTATTGCTATATAAAAGATTTCGACATAAATTCTCCTTGTTCTCAATTCGTTCAGGAAGGTGTCGTTATATTGAGTTGTATTAAAATACCTCTAGCTCCTTGTTAGACCTTTTATTATTCTTATAACGTTCATATGCTTCACCAAATTCCGAATTTCCTTTAATATAATTCTCAATAATTAAATTTTGTGCATCTTTATCTAAATTAAATTTTCTTCTGATTTCTATTTCATTTTCAAATAATTTCTTTTGGCATTCGTTTATCTGATCCAATTTGTTCTTTACATATTTATTTTGTTGCCTATGAATCATTAGTTTCTTTTCACTATCTATTTCGTTTATTTGTAATGTACGTCTATTCATGTTATCATTCTATTAAAATAAAAATTTTAGAGATTTCTCTCAAAACAGCTTGAATTCAGCGCAAACAAACAGTAACACGCAATCCTTTATATTGGACAAGTAAGTCCACCAATCCTAAACCCGTCTGTTATGCCATAGGGTGCAATCTAACACTGTGATTAACAGTATAGGATTCGGGCCTTATGCAAGACTTAATACCTATACCCGTCTATTTTTAATAAAAATTGACTTGTCCCACATCACTTCTCTTGTAATATAAGCGGGATTCCAATGTAACTTATAATTCTTAGAATATTTACCTGCATAAAATTAGAATCTTCTGATAATAAATATTCAGATTCTTCGGATTTATCTTCTGGAGAAAATTGTATGTTTTGCTGACTTGTAGAAGTCCTTTCATCATTTATTTTGTTTATTGATGTGTATCGTATTTTCTTTTTTCCCTTTTATTAAAATAAAGTTTGGATATTATAGGTGATATTAAAATTTTTTTAGAGATTCCCCAACACCGGATTGCCCAGCATATGTTCGGAAAACGTGACTAGGATCCGTGAAAGATTATAGATTCTTAGTTCAAATTGAAAAAGTTCTAGCTAAAGCAAATGCGGCCACCAATTTGCCACATCCTTATAACAAATGTTTTGATAGCCAATGCCCGAAACATCTGCCTAATTTACGTATCTACATTGTGAATAGGCCATTTTTCCCTTTTTAATTCGTTTCTGTTCAAAAAATCTATTCAAAAATTTATTCAAAAACTTCCACTTACTTTAAATTTATCCTCATACGATACTTGATAATCTGAATCTTCAGGATTATATTCTTCTTCAGAAGAATCATTTGCAGATACAGAATATAATAGTAAATAAATAATTAAATTTAATAAAATTATATAAAATTTGTTTCTCAACATTTCTTTAAATTAATAAACTTTAATTATTTAAAATAATGCCCAAGTCCCTTTTCTATCCTCTTTTTTAATCGTAAAGGATCGCTTTGAAGTTAAGCAACATATAAGATAAACTAAAGGCAAATAAGTCGTGTCTTCTTAGTAAAGCATCCCATGGAAGGGAGAGAGCTTATTTCTTTAGTGCAGCGTCCCATGAAAGGGAGAGAGCTTATTTCTTTAGGACAGCGTCCCTTGAGAGAGAGAGAGATTATTTCACGTGGCTGTGTCCCAAGAGAGGGAGAGAGCTTATTTCACGTGGCTGATAGGACAGCAGATAATTATTGCTGAAATATAGTAAAAGATAGATAAAAATTTAGCTATTATTGCTGAAATATAGTAAGAGATAGGTAAGAGTTTAGCCCCAAGCTTCCATTCTGCAACCTTATTGCTTGGAATTTTTCTGCATTATAAGTATGTGTTCCATATCTTTGATTTATTTTATCTACGTAAAAAACGTGACAATAAAATAATCGAAACAAAATCGTTATAAAATGAAGCAGAGTCGTTAAAAAACAAATTAAAATTTAAAATATATTTTAAGTAAATTAAATTTTAATAAAAAAGTTTTACATATTTAACAAAAACAACAAAACATATTTACTCAGATCTGACGTGTTTAATTTTTGTTCAAATGTTGAAAGTTTGGGACATGACAATATTTCATGTGGTAGGGTTGGATAGATCCTTGCCACTTTTTTACAAAAAAATGATGTATATACTTGGTAGTTGATAATTTATAATTTATAGGGTTCCTGTTGGATCCTTGAATTTGTTAGTTTAAAATTGATTTATATTTTTAAATTAGATATACTTTTTCTAAATTTGATTGACATTTATTCAAATATTTTTCATCCTTTCCAACTTCCCCCTACTCAAATATTAAACTTTCTTTTTCATTAAAAATAACCTTTTCTTTATGTATTTAAAAATAATCTTTTCTTTCCCTTTCATCAATTTAAACATTTCCTTCTGGCTTATGTATATTTAAATTAAAAGTAACTTTGTTTAATAATGTGTTTTAACTAGAGTTGATCAAGACGAGACCGATACCGAGACCGATACCGATACCGAGATTCTCGGCTTTTTTCCAATATCGGTCTCGGTTTTTTCATTCTCGGTCTCGAAACCGATACCGATATTCTCGGTCCATTTCTCGGCGAGAAACGATACTGACTAAAAGAAACAAAATTACCAATATTGTCCAAGTTTTCGTCCATAATTTTTTTCGGATATCCGTCCATAACAGAGAAAGCGAATTCTTTTCGAATAAGGTCTTCTAAAATTCAAAAAATTTTCGCCTGCGGCGCTGAAAAAGGAAAAAAATTTGCTGACCTGGCCTTCCAAAATAATAAATTTTCGTCTGCGGCGCTGAAATGTTGAATCTTCCGAGCCCTCGACCGTTAGATTTTCAAGATTTTGATTACAGAGCCTTCCGATTTTTGGCAATTGTTGTTCTCACCAGTGGATTAAGGGGATTTAAAGCGATCAGAAGCAGGGATGAGCGCATTGAGTTTGCGTATCTGAGGGCAAAAATTGGAAAAAATCTGGCTTCATGGCCTTTTAAAATTCTCAAATTTTTGTCTGCGGCGCTGAAAATGAGAAGAATTCTGGCTTCTTGGCCTTCCAAAACTACAAATTTTCGCCTGCGGCGCTGAAAATTGGAAGAAATCTGTTGACTTGCACTTCTAATAATGGTTTGGTTAACCAAAAATTTTCACTTCGGCCATCCGAGGATACCCGCGGATGGATATGCCTCAAAAGTTGTAAGGATATAATCGGATACAGATGTCAACCTCACGGATATACCTATTCGGATATTCGGATACGGACACAAAAATTAGTATCCAATGCCAAGCCAGATCGGATCCAGATGATGAAGAGTATTTATCTGATGATTTGGATGATGAAAATAATATATATATATTATTTTTACACGTATTTTTTGACATAAAATGAAAATTTCTGTTAGTATCGGTCAGTATCGTTTCTCGGTATCGGCTCAAAATGTTGGTATCGGTCTTGATATCGGGTTCTTGAGTATCGGTCAATCTCGGTCTCGGGTTGGCCGATACCAGTATCGTTTTGATCAACTCTAGTTTTAACTTTACCTTCTTTATACTTTTATTCAAATCACCGCCTTTCATTTTGTTGACTATATAAAGCCCCTTACATTTACTCAATTATCTTAATTGACTTGTATTCTAAATTAACCGTATTGAACGTCTTAAACTTGTTTTAAAATTGCTTGTTTTTATTTTAAATTAACTTGTTTTAAAGAAAAAGGCTTGTATTTATTTTGAATAAATTAATCTGAAAGTTCAGAGAAAAACTTAAGCTAAAACCGGGTCAAACAAAGTAATTTAGTTCGATATTAGTGGAGTGGGCTTGGCTTACAGGGAAAGGTGGTTTCTAATACACAAAATTTTAATAAAATTTGAAAAACATTAATTAAATGTAATTTTAGAAGAATTGTCTCACTTACAATTTTCCAACAGTACAGTTGTCTTGTCACCGCGGAAAGAGGTTTTTTTCGCCGCAAACACTAAGCTATTCAGGGAAAAATATAATAATTTTTTGTGGACCATGAGGCACTGAGGACCGGGACCAACCGCTTTACTATAATATTTTATAGGATTGATCTGGATTAAATTATTACGTGCGCTTTAAGAATAGCGATTTGTATGGGAGTATTTATTCGTTAATGTACTTTTCACTAGAATAAATTTTTATCCGTCTAAAAACTACAATTTAATAAAAAATATAGTAACTTTAAATAAAGCTCCGATTTTTAGTATAGAAAAACTTTAAAATCGGGAACCCAAAAACGTCGTCTAACTAGTGAGGATACATACAGTTTGCAATAGACTTTAAGACCACCTTAATTGTCAAGTTTTTCAAATTCCACGTAAGTTTCGGCAATGAAATTTTACACAACTATTTCTTCCGTAGATAAAAATTATTTAACAAATAAATTTTAAAAAACTCAAAATGGAATGCAAAATTTTGCGAAATTCAATTGAAATTAATAGATAAGTTGGCACTATATGAAAGGAGGTCGATAATCGTTTTTTTCATTACTTTTTTCATTAACTTCTTTCCTTCCTTAATTATAAATAATGGTCAGTCTTTTCTTTCTCGTTCACTTCCACTCTTTTTACCTGTGGCATATTCAAATGAGGACAGACAAAACTCGAGTTTTCTGCTCGTCTTCGTCCGTGTTTTGTCTGTCTGTTTCCGTCCGTGTTGGCTCTGCCCGTCTTCGTCCGTGCTGGCTTTGATCGAGCTCGTCCGAGTTCTGTCTGTCTGTGTCCGTCCGTGTTTGTCTGTCCGAGTCGACACGAAAAGAAAACAGGAGACTTTGTGTCTCTTTCATTTCTTTTGATTATGCCACAGGCAAATATAATGGAATTGAACAAGGAGTAAAATGCTGACCATTCTGTCATATCAAGGAAGGAAAAAAGTAATAGAAAAAGTAATGAAAAAAAACGATTATCGACCTCCTTTCATATAGTGCCGATAAGTTTATAGAAATTTTTGTAGATCTTTTGAACCACCCCTAATGTCGAAACTGGGTGTGGTCTTAAAGTTTATTGACACACTGCATGTAGCATAATAAGCTCAGATGTCAAAAAGGGATCGAGAATTTACATTGTTAATCGGGAAATTTAAATAATTTTCGAATCCATTTTCATCATTCTAATCTTCCTGTTTAATTTCCAACCAAACGACCAACAACAACTTTCAATTTTCCATCAATATAATTTTCAATAAATTCCTCAACCTTTCCAGTTATCATTTTCTTTATATTTTTCGAATAATTTTTATTTAAATTTAAATTGTAAAATTCCTCAGGTGTTTCATTGTATTCTTTGAATAATTCAATTAAATTATTAACTAGTTTAATATGTTTATCTTTAGCCTCCAAATAATTAACCTCTGTTTCTTCATACAAAAATTTGATGAATTTATCATTCATTGTCATTGAATTTAAAATTTCGAGTATTAAACGAAATTGTAAAAGATCATAAACTTTTTCGGTAGATTCTACAGGGTTG